TTAGGAGTGAGTCGGTCGGGAATTCAACTGCAGACCATATACATGACCGGCTATTATTCTACCTCTAAAACTCGACGTAATATCTATATATATTATTTATTAATGTAAAAATGTAGCATCAGTTGGTTTTTATCCTTTTGAATAAAAAACGGGTCTGACTTATAACCTCTGTCAGGTGTGTATAATCTGTGTATTTTTCTTCCTTTATCCATAAAAACATTATCAGTTGACTACAGTATATACATAAATGGATGTAAAACCTGCTTTCAGAGGGAAAATGATTGAAAATGTTCAGAATTACTAAAGTAATAAAATGTTAATGAATGTATGTTGTTGTATGTTGGACTTTAAACGATTCTGGTAGGAAACATAAAAAAATCTTCAACTATTGATTTCTTTATTTATTTTATTATAACCATTATTATTATTACTATTATTCCCTTGTGTTTTGAGTGAAAAACGTAAGGCTTCAGCAGCACATAGCCGTCTCATTCTGTACTCTTTTATCTAACTCCACAATCGACCATAAACTCTCATCTCCTCGGGACGTGGTCTCCCACCCCATGTGTCACACTTCGACGACTAGCACATAGCTTCCCTATCTCACTTGACAGTCTACTTGGTGTCTATCTAATCCATTTTTATTTCCTTCGGTATATTCATTGTGCAGTAGGTTCTTGATGTTGATTCGTTGCCGGAAACGTTTTTGAACCACAGCAAAACTGTCTGTCAGCACTCCTTAATTTTTCCACAATTTTCTTTAGCTGATCTGATATTATGAGGAAGGTCATCTGTAAAAGTCCTTCATCCGAAGTAATGTGACACAATATGCATCCAATCTCCAAGACTGATCCCATTTTTTAAAAGAAATTCTACTTGAAAAGTCGATGAGTATTACTTATGTTGAACCCACAAACAATCTATCTATGTTTCTAACGATGTTGACTACTGATTTGTCATAGGTAACGTTATATTCGTCGTTGTGCATCATCCAGTACCATGTTAACTGGTTGTCAGTGTCAATTATCTCCAGGATTATTTAGTTATTTGTTCATTAGATTCGATGGTGCCGTGAACTGCACTTCAAGTGGAAGACAGACGACATGTGATAACCACTCAATTACTAGACGTCTGCATTATATATATATATATATATATATATATATATATATACAGTGTTGCAGCCAATTAACATCTTAGATAAAATACATGATTGCTTTCTATTTATCTGTCGCTTTAATGGGATAAATCCAAAAAGGTTCCTTTCTCTTTCTTTAGACAAATTATATTTGTTCTTTCTAACTTTAATTCTTGAAATACTTATTGATGCAATCACTTCCCTTGATGAATTTTGAATAACATATATATTTATGTTAGCGTATCCTGTGCCTGCCTATATGTGTAAATCCCTTGGACATTATCACCATGTCTTATAATAAATTTTATCTACTTTTAACCTTTGTTAATTCAGTGCACTGTTTTAAAACGTCTATATTCCTTTTGTTGCGCTATATAAACGGAATATAAACATTTTAAAACATCGGATTTCCAACACTAATATCAACTATTCTGTATAAGTCGGAAACTTGATATGCACGTCACGAAAATCATTTCCGAGAGGTCACTGCAGACTTGTGTCAACAGTTGTCTTCGATGACTCCATACTGAAGATAAAGTAACCGACTAGAAAGGATTAACAACAGGGAAGTCTGAAAATGAACCAATCGAAAACCTGCTGCCTAACAAATATGCAGAAGAAAACGAAGATGGATAGGACACACGTTGAAGAGATCGTCGGGTGAGATTTCACGCCAGACCATTGTTTGAGTGAAACCTGAATGAGAAATGACGAGTTGAGCGTGTGTCCGAAGGTGACATCGAGAAGATCGTGTGAATAAGAGATGAGAGTGTATGGGCAGTGATAGGGCCAGCTAAAGAGGACTGCAGATAGCAGGACAAAATGGCTATGTGCTGTTGCAGCCATATGTTCCACTCAGAACCCAAGGGAATAATACTAATAATAATAATACTCCCTTAGTATTTATCGTATTTAAATCAGAGACACAATAAAATCCGTTTGTTTAGTCTGATTACAAGCTCTTATTATCCACTGAATATTTCAACATTCAAATGTACTTTCTGATACTTCTTTGTTTATTTTTATTGGACTTACTTGACATGTTCTTTTTTTAAAGATTTAATGCGGCTTTCAGTACCTCGTATATGGCATAATGATTTGAATGTCCATGGGAATGTATTACCTCACTATGATGTCTGATCAAAATGTAAGTGAGGAATTTCAAGGGACATAAACAATTCACATGAACGGACACTGTCTCTAAAGACGAATCATAATACAATTCTGTTTTCCCTATTTATTCATTGAATTTTCGCTAGTGATTTCATTGGCTTCTTTAGTTAGCTAGTTACTAATAAAATTTATTAAAACACAATGTCGGTACATTATAGACACCAAGAAATGCGCCACATGTAGTCTCATAGCTCCTAAGAGGGCTAGGACACTGCCCGGTCACCTAGGTGGAAGTTTGATCCATGAGGCAGCAGACCAGCGCACCCACCTTTGTCGGTGACCAAAACAGGTTCATACTCCATTCGATCCTTTCGAATTTTGGAGCCAATGCATACCATAGGTTCGGAATCAAGGTTTTCCAGCTCCCTTAGGTAGACCATTATGTTCACCAGTCCAGTTTTAAGCACCAGATGTTCAATTTTGTGAGGAACACCCAGCTGCGTGAAGTCAGTGACTAAGACCTACCTAGCAGAGGCTATCAGCACGTAGCCACATAAGATCATTTCGAGAGGAAGAATAAAGTCTACCCACACTTGGTCTCACCAGGTCGTTTATGGGGTGTTATGTACTTATATATCCAATGTATTAGTATGATAAAGTAATCCGTGAAGTCAGATGACTGGATTATCGTTATTTCGAAATAGCCAAAGGAATTATTAAACTTTCAATAATTCAAGAGTTTAAGTAGTGTTTTGTTTTTATCTCCATGATGTAATGATACAACTAAATTACTAATTGTTTAATTATATTATTTGATTAATTCACCTATTTTGGGTCATCTTTCATTAACATCCTAAGAAAGAATAGTCGAGTTATTGTAAGACTTTCAAATTATTCATTTTTTGTGCCATTGTGTTGTTGGATAGCCTATCAGTTGTGTTACAAAACAGTTGTCTTTCGACTACTGGAATTGTTTATTCTGCACTCACATGATACCTGGACATAACACCGCAATTCGTTAAACACATGCAAAATGAAATGCTGAATTTGTTCATCTTATAGGATGAAGCGTCGATGGATATGATTGCAGTGTATTCTTCTCTTTAACCAAACTATGTTTTCTATGCCATTGGTTTATTTTTTTCAATCATACTATTATTTGTGTCACTGTTTCATTTCAATATGATCATTATTGTAAAGTAATTTGGGATTTTGATAATTCCTGAGATCCTGTGGAATGTTTTGTTAATAGTCGTTTCTATACCGCATATAACTACAAGTGCTGAACACAGTTGTTTTTCAACACATAACAGACAAGCATCTCTGTCTGTAATTGTTAAACTGAGGTGCCATTTTTGATCGATTTCAGACGCCATAATCAAACTTCTAGCTGTCACATATACTCACAGGACTAAAGTTATGTGTGTTTGTGTGTTCGGGTTTGTTGATTGATCAAACATTTAAGAAGGATTTGAGCCAGTAGATTCTTGTTCTCTTCATCTGCAAGAAAGGGAAGTATTTGACTGCTTTACTTACTGGAGCCGGTGTCTTCTTTATTCTTATACGACTTCCCTTATCCTGACGAAGACAATTTTGTTAAGCCTACCGGTGATCTGACTGTTTGCATGCCAGTCACATCTCAATCAGTCTGTTCCAAAATAAATAGCTTTTCATCAGAAATTACTCAGTGGTCCTTGTCAAATGGTATCAAGCGAAATCCTTCCAAATTTCAGATTGATAATTTCACTTAGTGATACAAACGTGATTTATATGAGGTGTCTCGTTCCCATGATTCTCCTGTCAAATATGCCACTGAAGTTGAATGAACCTAAGTGTTTTCTCTGATCTTTCTTAGTCTTCTCACATCATGTTTATTTCTAGGAAGATATTTCGTGAGGAAGTTAAGACAATCTGGTATCACTCAGTCTCTACTTTAACAGTTTGTTAATTCTCGTATTTTATCTATTCTTCTTCATTGATTCCCCCTTCATCTTACCTGGGCTACTTAAAAAAGACTTTGTCACACTACGAAGGGCACTAAATACTGTCGGTAGACCGAGTGAAATACCGCTCAACCAACTTGTCAATACTGTTGTAGATAGACACTTAAACTCATGCAAGAAATTAGCGAATAGTATCTTGTTGGATTCTAAGCATCCTCTTTACACACAACTTAATGCTCTTACGACTAAGTATAAAAACTCAACGAACCTTATTTGTCACGCATTCATTTGTGATGAGAAAAGTGTTGGGTATGAAACTACTGAATTACTGTCAAACACTAGGTAAACGCCTTTTTTATTATTTCTATCATCATTATATTGTTGTCACTATTTTTCTGGACTTTTATTTTGCATTCATGTTCTTATTGACGTTAATATCAATATGTAAATGGCCTGTTAATTATTTCCCCCACTGTTCTATGTAATGTAAAGAGAAAATTAGATGATATCCCATGGTGGAAATTACTCTGTGTCAAAAGTAATGTTTGTGCGTTGGTGGTACAACAATTATGACTTTCGCCGACCTTGCACATGGTCCAGGGTTTGATCCCCTGCCGACGCATACGTGTTATCTATGGTCGGCCTGAGAAATTTGGGCTACCGATATCACATACTGAAAATTCCATACCTGTACCAAAAATACGGTGTGGAATCAAGCTATAATCTAAAAAAAATTATGATATAGTAACAACATTTCATGCCTAATTTTCTTTATTTTCCTTTTGTTTTTTTTTAAATTTTTACAGTTGCATTCAGGATTCAGTGATTTTGCCTATTCGCTATTTGGAAGATGGATAATGCCTCTTTGGTTTCTCATACATGCATGCACATAAACACGGATGCTTGTTGGCATATATATGTAATCTATAGATATATGCGACTTCGACTGAAACGCAGTATCAGGATATCGTCAAATTTGTGTCTATGACAAGATGTTAAATAAAAATTATTATTATTATTACTTATATAACCACTTTTTTGCTTTTAGTATTATTGTGAACAGAAATTGTTTGTTTTTTTCTTAGAATTAATGAACTGTCTTTCTAAACTTAGTACATTTTTTTCTTTTCTCTGTCGTCTTTGTCCTCCATGAAATTCTACGTGTTGTGTCAACTTGACTTGTGTCAACCTAACTCTGCTTTTTTTCGGTTTCCTCTCCGTTTTTGCACCACAATGCGTCGTCTATCATAATTATACATGAAAGTTTTCGTCACGTGTACATAAAAACCCATTCTCTTCTATATGCATTGCTTCTCTTTCTTGCCACTTTTTTTTATAACTGAACTATATTCTTCTTTTTTAATATGTATATGATTTGTTACATTTCCAACTGATGTATTGTACACACTGTTTCGCCTCCTTCTGTGTATATTTATCAAAGAAGAGAAGATTTTTTTTCATTGTCAAGATTCTGTAAACTTCTGTCTGAAAATTTCTTTCATTATATATATGATACTATTGTTTTCATTGTGTGTTTTGTAGTAGATTCATTCAAGATGTTTCCTTCATCCTTGATATTGAGTGTTCGTGTTTATCTGATCTTCTCTGTTGTTGTTACTGCTCTTCTTCGTCTTCTTCATTTTGGCTACTCCCGCTTCCTGTGTCTTCTTTGCTATAAGGCTGAAATGTATACACATTCTTCCTCTTTTCCTTAAGATAATTACTCTCAGTGCTTTGTAAAGATGATGATAATAATAAGAATAACAATAACATAATAAGAACTTCCTGTAAGTTTTATTTTCAGATGCTGGTCATCTACTTGTGTTATTGCATTATGTATGTTTGTGTGTGTGTGCATGCATGCTTGCATGTATTGTGTGTGTGTGTTTGTGTGCTGAATCCCCTTCTGTTTCAAAGTATTCTCTCCTTTTATTAATTTCTTCTTTACTCCCCTCTTTCTCTCTGCCTCTTCCTGTCTGTGTGATGTGCCGACAGCCGCCTGTAGCTTCGTGTGCCTATTATTACTGTTATATTATATTATGTTCTTCTGACAGAGGTTGTTTGGCTTTCCTCTTCTTGTCCTTTCTCTCTATCGTTCATATCACACTTATGCGCCAGTCACTTATTATTCTAACGAATCTCTAATTGTTTTGTTTACTTCTATTCCTTCCAATATTCTCTCCTACATGTTTGTTTATACACACCTATTTGCTACTTTTCTTTAGCGCCATATTTGACCCATGAATATATATATATATATATATATATAAACTGCTGTCGTGGCCAACAATGCCGTCATCATTGGTGTTTATAATCATCACAGGAGAAATGGAATGTGTGACAAACAGGTTAATTAATATCAGAAAGTAAACACACAAAAAAATGAAGAGTACACAACGGAAAAAAAGAAAGAAATAGTACGCTTAGACATTTTCATATTTATCTCTTTTATTATTTTTTTGTGAGGCGAACGGGGGTGGGTGGTATTGTGTTGTTTTATTATTAACTAGTTGATATTTTTACTATTAATGTTTGCGCATGCGTTTCCTTGTATTATGACTTTTTTTTTCCGGGGTGGAATAAATCAGATGGATATTGTACAATTATTATTATCTTTGTGAGTGTGTGTGTGTGTTATATTAGTCGTGGACCACGGATTGAGAATTTAGATGCTTACCACAGTGTTATTAATGTGATGATTGAAAATAAAATGGAAATGTTGTGCTAGTCCAGTTGGATTCAAAGGTGCATCGGTTGCATAGCGGTTAGGACGCTCGCCGACCATGCACATGGTCTGGGGTTCGATCCCCGGCCGACTCACTCCTTTACCTCGCTAAGCAAGAAATAATACTGGTTGGTGAAGAGGAAAGGTTGGGCATGAGGCTAGCAATCCCATCCTGTAAAATAAACACTGCTACAGAAACTTCAAGCCACTAGCTTGAAGCCCTATGTTCCACTGGGGAACGTGAAGGAAAAAAAAAGTTGGATTCAAATAGCAGTCTTTGTGTATTGTCCAATACTTATCAGTAGGTTCATTTACTAAGGCGTGAAACTCAATCAAACTTATGATATATCGTAAAGAGTTTTATGTTTAAGAACACAATATTCAACGAAGAGAATCTTTTCAACGAATTTATTATCAAGCTTGTATTAAATAGTGAAGAATAATTACAAATAACACACCAACCAAAATTATACGGGTTAGAAGTATGATTGCGTAACATCTAAGATAATGTTTCTGGGAAATATAATTTGTAATACAGACAATTAAAAAATAAAGGTTGGGTTCATGGTAGATACATTGCTTAAACCAACCACTTTTGAACACAGCTGTGACTCATTTACGCCTGTAGTGAGCACTTCTGCATTACAAGATAATCGGAAGTATACTGTCTTCAGTAGATCTGTTTTCCCTACGTAAATCACTTTGATTGATATATCCTGTTAGATTTCGTGACAAGTGCTTAAGCCAGTGGTACTTCTCTCACCACTATTGCAAATTCTGATACCGTACGGACTCTTCAACGACGTTTAAGGATTAACTAGCAGTGCTGGTCATGTCAACAGAGATCTAGCGTTTTGGTCCTATATAATCAGTTGGCGGGAAATACAAAATTCACCTCAAAACAAATAATAACTGAAATATCCGTTGCATAAGAGGTGGCTCTCGTGGTATAGTGGGTAGTGCTTTGGTGTTTGAAACTATGGGTACTGGGTCCAAGTCTCAGAGGGAACATCATCATTCACTTACTGGAAATTCAGGCACATCCAGATGATGAGTTTCAAATAGGAAGAAATGCGCATCCTCAATTCTACTGCTAGTTACCCCCAACCGAAGAATAAACACGGATGTAGTTCCCTTCAGAAATCATAATTTAGCCAAAATTAGGAAAAATTACATTTGTATGCATCAAAACATTCATGATCTTCGATGAGTTATTGCCTCATCTTCATCTGGGAAGCCTTGACCAGTAGGGTACAGCAGGTTGAAGATGTGGCAGTAAATCATCGAAAAAGACATTGCGAAATGGTTGCGCTATGTCGTGAATTGGCAGAAGTAAGAATTCATGGACCATCGGATCGTGTCCCAGTTGCTTAATGGTATACGAGCTCGCCTTGTAACCAGAAGGCCCTGGATTCGAACCCTGGTTGGCGCGTACCGATGAGGAGTCCTGAAGTAGGATGAAACAGCTGTCCAGTACTCCCAGGTTTTCCGATGGTTCTGTAACTGATGTCAGCTCATGATGAAATCCTCCATCCAATCAAACAAAATCCCTACAAAACCAATACTTGAACATTGGACTATTGTTCATTAGTGAATATTATATCACAGAAACAGCCTAGAGAGTATGAAGTCATAAGAGGATTGTGTATACTACTAGTTGATATGAACAGCCGGAACCATCCTCATTACGGTCGTGCTTGTAAACTAGAACGAAGTAGTCTAGAAAACTGGACTGCCGTTTCGCATGTTTGAGGCCTCAGTCATCACCTTATTAGGCTGGATTCAATTGAGTGACTTGGGCTGAAGTGTATAAACTAATACTAAGTTGTCATTTTCCTGGTTTAACTGCCTAATCCTGCTATTGTAGGCTCGTGTCAATAACTTCAAAGACTTCATTTCCTCATACTGGATAAGTTCCAGTGGCTGTATTAGATGATTTTGTAGTAAATTTAGATTCAACTGCGAAGAGACTTCTTTAAGTACAGCAGTAGGCCAATAAAAGATATATTTCCCAGTCTATGTTGGTCTATGTATTCATCAAATTGCTTATCTCCTTCTTATTCCTAGTCTGAAGTTTTTGTTCAGCCTCACAACCGAAAATTTGATAGTTGTGAAATACCTGTTAAGCTTTCGTCATCTCAAATTTCAGCCTGCGTTATTTTTAACTTCAATAATCTGAGATAATATTTACAAATGCATCATACTGACTTAAATATATGCATGTTATATTGCCTTCATAAATATTTATGTTTATTTGTTCCCACTTCTCATACATATCTTTCCTGTTGTCTATTATGTTAATGAGACCTGTAATGATTAGAATCTGATTGACTAAGTTCCAAAACAGAACTATACACAGAAGTGCAGCAGTTCAACGAGTCACATTCTATGCAACACATAAAGAAACTCAAAGTGCTATAACAATTAGAAATGTGAACGAGAAAGAATAACATGAGGGTTCAGTGAATATCGGAGATCACAAAGAGTAAATGCATATGGCATTGAAATACTTTAAGCCCTATCTCCCATAGTCTCTTACCATAGGTTCTTAGAATCCTGAGGACTCCAAGCAGGCTGTCTACATGGTTAGTTAAAACTAATAGTCAATGATTTCATAGGCTTATGCCAGATTTTGTTCCGACTATCCCTAACTCTTTTCCAACCTAATTCCATACAGGCTATCATTGCTCGTTGAGGAAGGTGATGGCTAGTCATGCTTAACACATGTTCTATCCATCTCAGTCGATGTAGCATCACAACCTCATCTACTGTCTTGCCCTCCTCACCTAACGCTATATCTAACTTGAGTATTCCTCAGCATATTTTACCACTTAATACGAGAGATAGAACGCTGACACCTATGATCAAAGTCAACTAATCTTTTCCACCTTCTATGGCTAAGTCTCACAACTATAAAGCAAAACAGAGAGGATTGCTTCTCAGTATACTTTATCGTTTAGTCGAAAGCTGGACATCACGTTGCCAAATACCACACGAGCCTTTTTATATCCAAGCTGAGATTTTGTGAGCAATCAATTCATTGAGGCTGATTCAACTTCTAAAATAAAGTGAAGTGGTCAACACGCTCTACCACTCAATAAACATTTTTTTTCAAAAATTACACTATATATTCAACGAGAATAATTTGATCAATACTTGTTGAACAATTAGCACTACCGAGCAGAACACAGAGAGAATTTATTCTTGAGAACTTTAAAAAGTACAACATTCAAACTAACGTGGTTTTCTTCCCACGCAGTACAAAAATAAGAAAAAAATTGCATTATACGATATCACAGTTTCTAGGTTGAATGTTCAACAGGTAGAATGTGAATAATGTATGAAACCGTTACAAGAAATCAATACTTTGATTGAACACTGGTTAGTAACTAGCATCATGCATCTATTCTTTCCTTTGGTACAGACTGACTATCGTCAGTCAAGTTTGCAATGTGACATCATGCTAGGTGGCTCGCCATCAATGTGCACTCTGAAATGTTGTTATTAGATGGTTGAGAGCGAGCCAGAATAGCTCAGTGGTAACGTCTCTGTAAGGATATGAGTTGCTTCAAGATTGCAGATATGCCTTGCTGACTGGTGAGTGCTAAAAGGCACACGACTTAGGTCAGGTAGAGCTTCCTGCCAATCACCTTCTACCATCTAACAGTTACGAGAAATGTATGTCAATTAAACAGAAGGATATAAGCTTGAGGTATGAGTTTGTACAACGTAAGATTTCAATGAAGAACATTCAAACAGCTTTGAAGGTTTTCACTATTGTTACTAATAATAACTGTGATATATATGGTTTGTATTACTATTTCAATACATAGTACAACATAGACAAGACGGAGGTTATGAAAATAACCAACAACAGCAGCAGCAAACATCCAGCGCCAATCACCACCAACGGGAGGGATTTGAAAGAGGTTACTTCATTCACTTATCTAGGGAGCATTGTCTCAACTACAGGAGGAACGGACGAGGATGTCAAATCGAGAATCGGGAAGGCGAGAAACACATTCATCAACCTGAAACCAATCTGGAAATCTTCGTCACTCAGCATCAACAACAAAATTCGGATTTTCAATACAAACGTCAAGTCAGTTTTTCTATACGGATCAGAAACTTGGCAGCGGGTCACAAAGAATATTTCCAACAGCCTGTTGCAGACCTTTATCAACAACTGTCTTCGTTCTATACTGAAGATCAGATGGCCGGAAAGAATCACCAACAAGAAAATATGGGAACAAACAAAACAAGAACCAATCGCCCAACAAATATGCAGGAGAAAGTGGAGATGGATTGGACACTCGCTGAGGAGGCCACTGGGTGACATCGCGCGTCAGGCCAGTGCTCGAGTGGAACTCGAAAGGGAAGCGGTGAGTGGGACGTCCAAGGGTGACATGGAGGAGATCGTGTGAAGAGGAGTTGAAACAGTATGGACTAAAATGGATGCAAGTGAAAAGTACAGCAGAAGACAGAAGCAAGTGGAGACGTGCAGTTGAAGCCCTATGTTCCACTAGGAACCCAAAGGAACAATAATAATAATAATTATTACTATTTTAGTGCTAGTAAATTCTTCTCATATGTGAAAGAAATAATCATACATCTAGGTATCTTCTTCCTTACTAACGCAGGTAAATGGAAGATTATTTTATGCAACTGTTAGGGTTACTCT